TAGGATTAATTAATTATAAAAAGAATCATTCAACTAACTCACTTTTATATTATAAAATATCATTAAAACATTATTTAACTTATCTCGCAGAAGATGATTCTAATCTTTTACCAATATATCTTAATATTGGTATTCTTGAAAAGAAACAAAAGAATTATTATGAATCCATAAAATATTTCAAGTGTGCATTAAATATTGCAGTTTCTTGTTCACCCATTGATCATTTACAAATAGCTAGAATTTATCATCATATTGCTGAAATTTACGAAGATCAAAAGCTATTTGTTGATGCTATTCAATATTATCAATTAGCATTAGAAAATGAACTAAATCATTACCCATTTTATCATTTATCAATAGCAAATACTTATACTAAAATAGGTGAAATATTTTGTCAAACAGAAGATTATACAAGATCATTATCTTATTTTGATAAAGTATTAAAGATTCAAAAGAAAATTCTGTCACCAAATCATTCATTATTAGCAATAACAAATTATAATATAGCTAAAGCATTAGCTGGTTTATGTGAATATAAAAAATCGATTGAATATGCATCACAAGCTGTTAATATTGCTCGACATACATTTGGATCTAATCATGAAAATGTGCAGTTATATGAAAATTATGTGAAGAAACTACGAAGAAGAACATTGATTAATGTTGTACCAAATGGTGCTGTTTATGAATAAATATGTGAAGAGAGAACGAGAGTTTGCTCACATTGTATGTTTTGTGAATAAAGCTTAGAAGTACATGTGCAACCTTTCTATACCATTTTCAATTCGACACATATATTCCCTTTTCTGAAAGAAAGGGTTTTACAGCATTACAATCTCGGCATAAAATGCACAAGGTTTGTCTGTCTAAGTCAGTCAGATTACAATAAAGCATTAGAAACTAAGCTTTAGCTTAGTTAAAGTAAAAATGACCTTCACTTACAGTTTTCTGGGCTGAAGAATCCGAATCTGTTGTCAGTTTTTTATAATTTTTTTGTCTTTTTTTTTCAAGCAATGGATAGATTTTTTCCGGAAATTTTGTTTCTATGAAGTTTGACTAAAGGTAATCGGGGCCTAGAAATTCAGTAGTATTATTAGTCTAAGAAATAAATAGTCTCAATTCTTGAAAAATGAGTATGCAAAATCGAGAGTGGTTATTCATTTCTTCCCATTCGAATTTGTGAACAAGTAGACTAAACTGCTCGCAGGAAGGGTCTTCTTTTTTCTTGGTAGGTAGAAACGTAGTCATAGTCAGATTGATTTAAGGGTTAAATAGGATCCCCTTTCGTTTGAATCTAGAAATCACTTTGTTTTGTTCGATTCAAAGACCTAAAACTCGCGTTCATCATCTCAATGGACATAAGATTGATCAATTAAATATTATGCAAAACTTTCTTTAGTATTATTAGAAATAAATATGCTCATAATTGAATCAAGTTAGGAGTTTATCAGTGTCCTCTTCTTGAGGGTGTCGGTTAGTGTGAATAGAAAGAATAGATACCCGTCCACTCACACGCACCCACACCCAAGATGGTTATTAAACAAATTTTTACATTAAATAAAACGAATTAGAATTTTGTATAGATTGCAAAATTGACATCAGAAGTCTTACAATCAGGAACAATGCATTATGAACACAAATAATAAGAGAAATAATATTTTTTTTAAACATTTATTTTCTATGTACGGTTAGTTTTTCTTGTTAAATCGATTCGCCAATGATATGATTTTATATGCCTCGATGTGTTATCCATATTTTCCTTAAAATAGTGTCCATACACACCTGTGATAGAAAGTGTGCATCATTGGTTCATGATATCTTATCAACGCCGTCCTAAATTTACCAAAATATAAACAAAAACATTCCAATAGAAAACGAAAAACAGTGAATAGATAAAACGATGTATGCTGGTCATTTTGCAGCTGTGCTCCTATTATATTCCTATGATTCGACCGTTAATTCATTTTTACTTACGTTTGGTGTTGTTTTTATCGATATTATTATGGGTATATCAGCCTATTTCTCTGTCGAAGGATTTGAATAGAATCCAAATGGGGATGGACATGGTATCGAAATACATATTCCAATTAGTCATTCATTATTAAGTTCATTATGCTTTAGTTGTGTATGGGGATGTTTAAATTCTAAGCATTTTAGCATTTTATTTGTTTCATCATTATTTAGTCATTTCGTATTGGATTGGTTTGTTCATAATCTAGATTTAGAACTATACCCATTTAGTAATTTCTTTGTTGGAGGTACTAGACTTTCATCAACATATCTACGTGTTGCATATTATTTTGAATTACTTTTATGCATATTCTCTTGTGTCCTACTCATACAAACGAATAGTTATAAAAGTGTCAGTTCAGTTTTATCCATTATCTATCTATTTTATTTACAATGTTATCGAGCATTATTTCTAGGCAGTGAATTATATGCATTAACTCAAGTTACTCTTAAACAAAAACAAGATAGATTAACATGTTTAGAGTTGATGCCTTTCGTATAATAATCAAGAAAAAAAGAGAAAAGATTTCTTTATGCTGACTTTGTAATTTTAACTTTTAAGATCATTTCTTCTTTTTTATTTTAAAATACAAGAAAGAACAGCGTTGATTGGCTGCATACAGTCAGAATATATGATCAATATTATCTATTTACAATTAGCGATATCAAATTTCTACAGATTCACTTATACCATCACCAATAAATACGAGAAAAAGCACAAAATAAGAGAATTTAATATTCAGACCATAGCTAATTTGTGCTTCTCAATTCTAGTAAAACACCCGTTACGGGTGTGGGAGTATATGTCTGTACTACAACTATATCCGCACTCACACTCACCCTCAGTTTCTATGTGTATCAAAAGTATTCTTGTTATTCCAAACTAATTTATAGAGTCAGAGGACGGTGGGTTCTAAAATAATAGTCCTGGTTGGAAGAAGCAGTTTGTTCATCTAAACTACATTTTAATGTAAAAGAAACTTTATACTCATGATCAGCGTGATCGATAACCTGTATCTAGATCAAATTACAGGGGAAAACAAGAAAAAACTTTTTTCACTACCTTGGAAGGTACCACGGGAAAATAAAACTTCAAGAAGACAAAAACTAATTTTCTCCAAAAAAAACACATTTTTCTGTTCAGAATTTAATACTGATTCTAATCATGTAATTATTTTTCAAAAGGTTTTTGAGCGAGAAAATGGTCTTAACCCCACTAGTCCTTTCATCATCAAAAATAAAAGACTAGCATTAAAATACAACATCAAATAGATTTTTATTTGAGAAAATAAGAGAATAGAATATATATATATTTAATGAAAACGAGACAAACAATAATGTACTGTTTAAACTTATGTCATAATCATATGGAATGTGTTTCACCATTTTTTCACTGAAATCCTTTGCTTTATCTCGATCAAACAACCTGTAAACGTCTTCGTATGTTAATTCGATATCGTTCAATAGTCTTATTAAATTCTTGTTTATAAAATTTCGATGGTAATACATATATAATAAAAGTAAGCATCGGTGGAATAAATGAAATAAAATATAGAATAAGATATATCCATGGATTACTCGCTGATTTCATACAGTTCGATACATAAGATATTATTAAACGTGGTAATGCAAGAATGACTAATATAACTGGAGCAATTAATAAATTTTTATGTTCACGTAATTGTTGTCGTAAAAGTTGATAGTAAGTTCGATCAGTACGTAAATTTGATTGTTGACGAGATTTTCTTGTTATTAAAACAATAGATGATACTAAATTTATTACGAATGGAGCAATAAAATGAAAACCGTGTATTGCAGACTGAAATGTTTTTAAACTAGATGAATAAGTAATAATACACCATATTCTTATTTCATCATCATTTTCTTCATCTATTAAACGTCGATAAAACGGATCATAAATCGATGTACTTATGATAACAATAATAAGAATAAGAATTATTATTTTAGCTGCTGTTTTACTTTTTTTCTTTTGAAAACGAGTACCTTTTATTATTGTATATGCTCGTTCACCGGCTACACAAGCATTTAACCATTGGTCCATATTAAGACATGATTGTAGAAGAAAATCAAGAGTAATACATTGAATACGTAAGAATGTTCGATTTGATATCCTTCCCATTTGTGAAAAAATAAGTATCCAACATTTTAATCCAAATAAAATCATTATAAGTAAAGTTGTTATTGAAGAACCTAATAAATATAAACCGCAACCAACATCATGTACAACTTTATTTTTAAATGTTATCATAGCAAGAATACCATTGATAAAACCAGCAATAATAAATAGAATACTCAATATTAAACTTAATATTACAATAACTGGTTGATATTTAATATTAGCATTTGGTACAATATGATAACCTAAAATAGCATCAAGTGATAAACCAAATCCACTTGTACTAAACTGACATTGTGTTCCAAAATAACATGAAGGACAAACACATATTGATCTTGTCGGACAATCAAGTGCATCTTGAAAGCAATCACCTCCATTTTGACAAAGACTTCGACCAAAACAATTGAATGTCATATTATGATCAAATTCAAAACAATTAGCAAGACGTTGTTTATAATGATTATAACATAAACAAAGATGAATATCATCATAAAAACAAGAAAGATTTAATGAAGACATTTGACATGGTAAATGATAATATTTTATCCGACGAATAATATTTGATTTAGCAATACTATCATTAAATATTTCATTTATATGTTTACAACGATCTGATGGCTTTATCAATTGGTTAATTGTTTTTGATCGAATATAAATATTTTGAACTAAAATTAAATAATATTTCTTTTCAAGAAGTTCAACAAAAACAATATGAAATGGTTTTGACCAAAGAATTGTAACAAACTTTTGTTTAATAGGAATTGTTTGAGATGTAGTCAATCTCAATGGTTTATCATTATTCATAACTTCAATAAAATGAATAAATATTGATTGGGATACATTAATAGATTTCTCAAATGATAAAATTATTTTATTATCATTTAATTCACATCGTTCTCCAAAATAACCTTTTCGACAAATACATGTAAATTGTTCCTTCGATATCATATATTCATCTGTAGGAATACATTCACCACCATTTTGACATGTTAAATTTTCATTATTTTGGCAAATCATATTATTAAGAAGACATCGATAACCAAATGTATTCATAGGACAAATACATATTGATTGATTACTAGGAGAAACACCGATATATACTGAACGAGATGAACATAATGAAGAATGTTCAATTGTACAATAACGGCCAGACCACCCTTTATTACATTGACAAAATATTTTTTGTTCATTATTTCGATATTTAATACATTTACCATTGATACATGGATAATCTGAGCAACTTTCAAAATTAATATTATCATCTGGAATACCAACGATTAATGATAAACGATGAACAGGTAAAAATGAAAATTTAATTGGAAAATAAAAACTTCCTCGATAGTTTAATAATTTTTTTTCATAAATATGAATCTGTATTCCATAATTTTTTGTTTGATCTTTTGGTTGATTTGAATAAATTAAATTAATATGACGTTTTTTTATGTGACAATCTCGTATTGATAAATAAGTAAATTGTTCAGAAGAATGAATTATTTGTTTATTATTATCATCATCAATTAATAAAATAACAATTGCAAATAGCATTTTCCATGAATTATATGATGTTATTAATTTAATTGATAAACTTACTCGTTGATTTTGATATTGACATTGATCACCATAATAACTTGGTGGGCAAAAACATATTTTTCTTGTTCGATTAGTTTTATCATTTAACCACATACGCACATCAATACCACGATGACAATGAAGTTGTTGTTGAATAGATGTTACAGTTATAGGTGGATTTAAACGTACTTCGTGTTTTATATGTTGTTTTGTTTGATCTTTTAGTGATTTCTTCATTCTATTGAGAGTAAAACTTACAATTCGTTCTTTTTGATATAGTCGTACTTGATCACATAAATAACCTTCGACATTCGAAGCATTCGGACGTTCCGACTCTAGACAAATAGAATGAACTGGAGATTTATCTGTTGTACAAAATTGTTCATCATCTCCATGATCACAATCATATATACCGTTACATAGGCCCAAATTATCGATACATCGTTTTGGTTTTTGGTGTATGCAATGAAAGTTATCCATATTCATTATTTGATATTCTTTGCGACATAATTTTGGTTCATCGGTAGCTCCAATACAATCAACTCTACCATCATTTGCTTTAGTAATTGGTAAACACATAAATTGACTTGTATTAAGTGAAACACACTGATGTTCATCTGAAGAACAATTTAATGATGACGATAAACCACAATCAATTTCATCTTCACCATTAAGACAATTCCATAAACCGTTACAATGAGTATAAACATTATTACATGACCAATGTTCACATTCGGTTTCATCTGTTTCATCTTGTCCATCTATTGTAATAGGTGCTAATTCAGTAAATCCATCACAAATTGTTTGAAATGAAATATGTTTTCTTGCATATAGAAGTTTCCTTTTGTCTTCTGGAATACCCACTATACCTGTATCTATAGATTCTTCTGTTGGAATAGTATAATTAACTGAAGTTATATTTTCATCATCACCATTAGGACAATCATTTATACCATTCATAAGACGATATATAGAAATACATTTAAATGAATTAGAACATTGATACATATTTGATCTATTACAAATCGTAAGATTATAATTATAAATTTCTTGGTATTGCCAAAGTTCCGGATGTAACTCATGCAAAAGAGATAATTCGGTTATCATATCGGGCCTACCACCTATGGTAGGTAAGTCTAAAACCGGCAGCCGACGATGACACATTCGATTATTGAATGAGAATGTTGTATATTTATTTTCCATCTTTGAAGTTTCATTAAAATAACTATCATAACGAGAATTATTATAGCATATATAAGGATACTTAAATGCTTTATTAAAGTTCGTGCATGGTTTACATTTTTCATAAGCAAAATAAATATCACCAAATAAAACTGGAATAGTTGGCATATAGAACTTATCTGGACATTCATTTTCAATAACTTTATAACAGTCATTGTTTGCGCAAGAAGTAACACAGTTGGATAGAGATGACTGCTGTAAATTAATACCACTACATACGAATGCAGACCAACATTGATCAGATGTGGAATTATCTTTTACAGAGAACATGCTTTTAAATATTATTTCTTGACGATAGTACCAACAAGAGCCCATACATTTCTTACTTCCACAACGTGGATCTTCACATGTTACATCTTCACATTTAAACGATGGTTTATTTTTAGAACATCCATTGACTTCATTAGATTGTCTATAAGATTCATCTGAACCATCAAGACAATCAGGAAAATACTTATCATCTTGAAAAAACGCTTTTGGCACACATTGTCCATTAGTACAACGATATTCATTATCATTACATTCATTTATTTCAAGTTGCCAACAATATTCTTCATCAATTCCACCATCAAGACAATCAATTTCTCCGTTACAAATCTCAGTCCAATCTAAACATGTTGGCGAATGACCGCGATTGCATTGTAAATGAGTATAACAAGTATAATTAATTGGTTTATATTCATGAGTACGATAAAAATCAGTAATGATATCATTTAACGATGAATGCTCTGAATGCTTATAATCAATTTCATATTGACACATCGAACCAAATCTTGGTAAGGTACAATTATAAAAAACTTCTTTTGATAAAGCTGATTTATTAAAAATTGATAATTCATTCAAATAGGATTGATAATCTTCAATAGTATCTATTGATGCTGACCAAAGATATAATTGTTGACTTGTTATATTTTGATATGAAAGTTCACTAAATGTAAATTTTGGAAATAAATCATTTTCTTCGACTTGAAATTTCGATGGTAATTCACTCATACAATAGGATATTATTTCACGACTAGCATTTTCTTCTTTATTTAAGATATCAAGACGTAAACAATCATGTTGTAATACATCATTATTTTCATTTTCACGTACCCAACCTGTATGATGAAGATTGATTTGAGGATGACCAATAATCAAATGTAAAAGAATAAAATAGAATAGATATTTTATAGGAAACATTTTTATGTGTTATACAATAACAAAAAATAATGAATTCAATATCGATTATTTATACATCCCATTCCTGTCGCTCTTTTATAAAAGCATTTGGAGTTGTTATTTTAAGAAAAAAAGCATGATAAAATATGAACAAACTCATTTGTTCCTGTTCGAATGGTGAAATTAATAGAACAGCTAATGACGTCAAATCATCATTAAATAATGCCTTTCTCTGACGCAAGTCCTAGTAAATATCTGACTTTTAATTTGAGAACTTCTGGAAATAGCTCAGGAAAAACGTCATTGTATTTTTTATTGACTGAAAAATACGTAAGCAAAACTAAATAAATCTATTGCGTATCTACGTGGAGAATTCGATCTAAACGTGTACAAAAGAAGTAGTTAAAAAATTTTATTTTTAATTTATAGACAAATATGTTGTATAGAAACAATTCAATTTTGTGAGATGTATTATGTTCATTTCATTGGATTATAGTGTATTGATCTTTTCTATATTACAGTTCCCATTCAACTTTTAAAACAAAAATGCGCAATAAATATTATTCTGTTATTTCAAAGAAAACAGGAAAAACAATAATAAAGGTAAATCTGTAGTTATTTTCAGATATTGACGTCGATGTTTGTCCTTTCTCTGCAGATGTACGAATATATGAAATTTGATACAGTTAAAGAGGTAGTTGACATTTCATAAAATCTTAGAAATATTATAAAAGACTTGTTATCATGTTTGCGAAGAATTCAATCATAAATATATTGAGAACTATTTTATTTCGTTATACATTTATGATTAATAATATCTTTATGATAAAATTCTCCCGTTATTTTTCTCTGCACTAATCTATATCAACAGGAATGACTGATTTGGATGCACAAACAAGAAAAAATAGAAAATGAATACTAATCATTTCAATACAATTCTGACAATAACTTTTCTTATATGGATGTTTAAAAAGTTATGTATTATTCATAAGTATGTCTACAGGTTTATATTGAGAAAAGTAAATATAAAATTGCAGGAAATCATTAAAATATGTTAGATTACCAATAAATTCAACGTTTTACTATTCACGACGAATGCGTCATTTTGTATCCATACTGCAATTTGGCATTGACATTGCTTCATTTAAACTGAATAATTAGAAAAGTTGTTTCCATGAATGACTTAACATCCGTTGGTACAGAATCAATTAATACATAGTCATTAATTGAAACAAGAATGATTCAGGTATCAATTTATTAACAGTTGATAGTGCTAAATAACTCGATTAAATTGTTTTTCTATTATACTACTGAATGTAATATCCGTAAGTGCTTGCATCATGATACAAGGCTACATAGTTAATGAAGAGAACTGTAAAATTTGATATCAGTATGATTATGATAAATATTAGCTCAAGTATGTGTGAATACTAAAAAGATACATAAAAAGGAGAAAAAAAATAGAGAATGAGAGAACAAAAAAAGAAGAAGAGGAAGAAAAGAGAGAAAGTATGGTATTGTCCAGAAATAAGGAAAAATATAAATCTGGAAAAAGATTCAACAGTTTATCATGTAAGTGAAATTAGCGGTGGATCCGAGTGATTCTACTAACGATTCTCTCATAGCGGGGTGGGTGTCGATGTACATGTGGGTAAAATAAGAAGAGAACACGCTTGACCACACCCAGACTCGCCCTCACGATTATTCTTATTGTTGTGTTACTATTAATTTTTAATTCGATTAATAGATCAATATACACAAGCCATATCTATTCTTAGTCACGATCTCGCATCATCTTTACTATCAACATTCTTATGTTTTGTTCTTTTTCTCTCTACATAACATGTGCATTTATGTTTCTTTACTCTTCACTATGAGTTTAGACAAATGTCATGGTTGAATAAACATGATTATTTTAATCCTTGTTTCTTTTCATCTAATATCAAATTCGATTGCACGCATTCATATTAAAAGATTTATTTCATGTATTGTACTTCAATGATATCTTGTTTTATTTAGAAAAAACAATAAATAAAGGTATTTCTAGCTAATTTATTTTTGTTTAACAAAAACAATGTCTGATAAAAAAAGTATTGAATTAACTTATTGTTAAAAATGTTTTGCATTTTATATACCAATAATTGCAATTCATGGTTACTATACTACCAACAACGAAGCATTCAGTTAAACACTAGATACAAATTGAAATGATAATCTAAAAAAAATATGTAAAAATAAAATGCAATATTAGAACTACACTTTCGTGCATAAATAAATACATAATCTTCGTCAAACATATTATCATTTTTTAGAATCCATTCAAATATGTAACTCACTTTATAAACGCGTTAGAAAAGTGTACTAGTGACTAATAGATAACGACAGTTGAATACTTCATACGAAGATTCCATTCAGGTATATTATAGAGTTGACAGGAAGATTTGAGCGAGCTAAGCGACTGATGAGTATACAACAGATGAATAATTCATAATAATATTATGTTCAAGTATTTTATTTCATTTGAAAGAAGTTTTCTACAACAGTTCAGCATACACAAATAGATAATACATGAATAAGTCACGTCAGGATTGTGCTCATATATTTCTTTTCGTTCGGAAAACAATTTCAGTAATAGTTCTACATTCACAAGCCAGTGACAGACGAATCAACATCAGCAAGATTGTATTTTGTTTCATTCGGAAGGAGAGTTTGTAGAACAGTTTAACGTTAACGTTTACAAATAAATAATAGATGAATAAGTCATAACAAGATCGCATTCCAATATTTTCTTAGCATCAATATGAGATTTCTACCTCTCACAAAAAGATCTTAAAACAAACGACAGATGAATACTTCTAACAGACATCATATCCACATAATTTATTCAATCAAATTTAGGAATTACGTTAAGTTCAAAGACCGACAGGTTAATAGACAGTGAATGAATTTTAGTAAGGTATTATGTTCAAGTATTTTCATTAGTTTAAAGTGACATTTTTATGACACCAGATAATGACGAGATAGGGATTATGAATGTCTCATACCAAGCGATGGTTCAGTTATTTTGTTGAAATCGAAGTAATATTCTTAAGATACTCTTTGATAGAGAAGAATAAAGGATAATGAATGTTGCATAGAAAAAGCACATACTAATATTTTGAGGAAACATTTAAACTATTATTTGTACCAAAGTATATGACCTATTCTCACATGTAATACAAAGTAAGCAAACAAGAGATTCGTTTTCATTGAGGAATACATTGGGTATGAATAATTATAAACATATTTCTGTTCAGATATCTGCACATTTAACAATAAACCGAACAAATGTGATGAAATTAGTGTCTGTATTTACAATGAATAATTCTAAGGAATGTTTTATTCCAAAATTTGTTCCTTTCAGAAAACATTAGAAGAGATCATTATGAATTTAATAAATCTGTAGTTAATGAACACTTATGATGAAGTCATATCGTTCAAGTTTCATTTACCATTACGAAAGGCTCCAAGTTTCTATCATATAATCGATAGATTTAAGACTAATGAATAACTCAGACAAATTCTTTCTTCACATATATTATTATTCACAACAAAAGTAATAAAAGTGTATATACTGATAATGAAATTCATAACAAATGAACGACTCTAACCATTATTCTTTTTAAGTACTTTAGTGAATGTCATGTATTCGACGAAAGCATACCGAATAACACAGATCTTAGTTAAAATGAATGAACGATACGCTTTTCATGATATGTCTGGAGAACTCTCTTGATGAGTTGGTCGCTTGTACCACGAGGAGTATCTTCGTCGAAATCATGATTGACGAAGCAGGCCTTGTGCATAGTTGTGAACATTAGACCATTAAAGCCAATGTGTATACTAATCTCTTGTTATTAACCATCGTTCTTGTTTGTGTTGGATGAAAGAATAAATGTTGTGTGAGAGTAAGTATTTTTAATGAAGAACCACTTTTTAATTTTGCAAGGATATTTTCAGTCTTTATATAGTCATTACGAATATAGGAAAGAGAAAGTAGCGAAAAAATATCGATTGTTCTCTTTCAATCCGAAGTAAGGCGTTACGATTACAAAAAAAAAGATACAAAAAACGGAATGATTCGTTTTTGACGACTGACAACATATAACGACTTGTGTTTAGCTTTGACACAAATATAAAACACGCTTGTTACTTATGTTAATATTATTCTATACACAGAACAGAATCATATTATAAAAATATTACTTTATATAGATACAATTTTCGACTATTCTTTTCATGAATAACTATATGTACATCATGTACAATATAAATATTACTGCTCTACTATTCAATTTTTTTTTGATTGAACAAGAACACATCCTTCGAATGAACCAATAACTTTCGTATGTATATGATTACGATAATAAAAATGTATGATAGCTACACATAAATCTTTGATTAAGAAAAAGTAAAAGTAAGAGAAAGATATAATCAATATAAAAGTAACTCATGTGTGACGAAAACGAAGGATACATACTAAAAAATCAAACTAGTGAATGTTAACAAAATGTTCAATGAACAAATTATAAATTTCTACAATTATGGATGTATATTTCATGGATTTTTCATATGTAAATAGATTTTTTTAAGTATATGTATATGATAAATAAAATAAAAGAAATAAAATTATTGAAAACGAATTTTATTTTATTTATTTAAACGTAGTAAAATAAGTTTTTATAATAAAAATAAAATAAAATGAAATTTAACTACAGATTTCAATTTTCTCACAAGTCATCGACAGTAGTAGTATTAACAAGTGATGTTGCATGTTATATTCTTTCATTTGATAAAATTCTTTTTCAATTTTAGTTAAGCCAAACCGAATAATTTTGTACTAACAGTAGTCAACTTTGATCAATATTGTCTAAAAAACAACATGAGTAAAATCCGTTCTTTTATAATCAATATTCAATAGAGATATACTCAGTACATTCGTTATTGTCAGTTGAATTCGTTTTTGAAACATTTATCAATCA